GGGTACTGTCCTTTGGGACCTTGAGGAAGCCCACCCCCTTCCTCCCAAAGCAACATATCTTTCCCCTACAGAAGAAGGCTGCATCAAAGTTCCTCTAAGTTTCAAGCATCAGGTCGTTGGAGAAATCCCTCCCCAAGCTTGCATCCTTCCCAGGGAAGACCCCCTTCAGTGCTGCTCCGGTCACCCCCACACTGACGCAGGGGCAAGAGGAGGGCACACACACAGGGCTTACAGTTCTCACTGTGGGCTGCCACCAGACTAGGTACAAACGGAGTGCGGAGAGCACCATGAGACCGGCTCCTTATTAAGAGCTAGTATTGGGGAGCATTATGTAAAATAGCTCAAAAAGGTATTATCTCTAATTAACACTAAGTTAACTTCCATTAACTTTTGCAAAGGTAACTTTTTAAAGGAAAACTAAGACCCATGAAGATTGATAAGGATCACCCATGGTAAGTAGGAGAGGTAGGATTTGAACCCAGGTGTCCCCTCCATTCCAGCCCAGTGTCTGCTACCTGTGAGCTCCTCCAGGGCAAGCCCAGATTCCCCAGCTCCGTGTCCCTCACAACGCTCCGCACACGGCAGATGGCTGATGCTCAAATGCCCACCTGGACTGAGTTTATGATGGATCTCGTCAGAGACCTACCTGAGTGCAATGCAAAGGTGACCTCGCTATCGTCTGGGCCCTCCATGCTGCCTATCACCCCTTCCTGGGGTTCCAGAACCCAGCCCTCCTCATTGCCCTCCTCTTCTTCCTCTTCCTCGAAGTCCACATCTTCCATCTCTTGGGCCAGATCATCTGCTTTGGGGAGAGGGTTAAAAGAGGGACTCGGCAGGCGGTAGGAGGGATGGGGGAAAGCGCGGGGAGGCCTGAGGCTGGGGGGGGCGGGTAATGTGGCAAGAGGGTAAGGTGAGGTGAGACAGCGGGGTGAGCGGGGGTGAGCAGCGGCAGGGAGGAGGGGGCATAGGGGTCGAGGACAGGAGGGTCCGAGGGCCCAGGGTCGGCCTGAGACGGTGCGAAAAGGGAGGACGGAGGGGATGATGGGAAGGGGGTGTGTGAGGGGAAGGGCCGGAGGAGGCGTCAGGGGAACCCCCACCCCCGCCAGGCCTGAGAACTACGTGTGGGGGTGGGGACAGGGGGGAAGGGCGAGAGGTTGGTAGAAATGACCGGTGGGGTGTGGAGGGGAGAAGGGAGAAGCTGGGGTCAGAGGCCAGAGGTAAGCGCCTCCTGTCCCACGGCCTGAGGAGCGCAGTTCTCACCCGGGTCCGGCGGACCGGGATCCAGTTCTACCACCTCGATAATTTCCTCATCACCATGGAAGCTTAGCGTCTCCAGTGGTGGGGTGTCAGCAGCAGCCCCGCTTTCCGATTCGGACTCCATGCGGCGCAAGCGGCCGATCCACTTCTCTGGGCCCAAACGCCTCCCAGAGTCAGCTCTGCGCGACGACGCGGAACTCGAGCCCCTCCTCCCTGGAGGAAGTAGGCGTAGGTGACTCTCTGCAGGAAGAGCGACGGCCGCTCTGCCAGTAGCGAAGGGGGTTGGTTGGTTGAACCACCAATCACAGAGCAGAGTTGGAAGACGGGAACGGGGCGTGGCGGGGAGAACCTAAACTCCGCCTGATCTGACTCCGCCTCCTACAGGAGAGAAACAAGCCGAGCGTGCGCGCCTTCAGGGTCTCCTGGGAAGAGTAGTTCTCCCGGGTCCGCTCCATGGGCTTCCGGGAATTGTAGTTTCTGGTGCGTAGGCAAGACGGAAGGAGCGGGGGAGGCCCCTTACGCAAACTACAATTCCCGGCGGGGAGCGCGGTGAAGGGAGGGTGGGATCCGACAATGGCGGCGGTGGTAGCTGCTACGGCGCTGAAGGGCCGGGGGGCGAGAAATGCCCGCGTCCTCCGGGGTAAGGAGAGGGACCCCGGGGAGGGCAGAACTGAAGGGGATCCTTTTTTTTTTTTCACAATCTGCCCAGCAGTAGCAGGGGTCATGGCTGTCGATTCCTGCCCAAACCCATCTGCAGGATCATAAAGAGTCTAGGGGCTAAAAGATGCTCTCTAGAGGTCGTCCAGTCCATCAATCATCCTGTCTTCGGGTTACCCGACACCTCTGGGGTCTTGCTGCAAAAAGGAGCCCCAAGGAAGCCTGTTAAACTCCTGCGTTCCATGTGTTTCACACTCACCGCAGTGCAGAGGAAGGAGCCCTGGGCATCTGAAGGCTTGGGTTCTAGCCCCGGGTATTAGCAGTTTGACCTTGGGCAAAGCAGTTCGTCTCTCAGGGCTTCAGTTTCCTCTTCTATAAAATGAGGGGATGTAACACAGAGAAGACAAGTAGTGATTCCATAGCATCTTACTACGCTGATGGACAGTGACTTTAATGGGGTATGTGGTGGGGACTTGATAATGGGGGGAGTCTAGTAACCATAATGTTGCTCATGTAATTGTAGATTAATGATACCAAAAGGAAAAAATTTTTTTTAATTAAGGGAATGGAAGAGACTACCTTTAAGCTCCCTTCCGGTGCTAACATTCTGCGGTTTGAAACCCTTTTCTCGAATTTCCTTCATACGTCTGTGAGCCCCACTGCAGTCCTTCACATCCTGTCGTCTGAGGAGATGAGTAACAGCGAAGCTCACTCTCCTGGCACCAGGGTGATGAGCCCGCAGTGACGTGGAAGTGGCCTCCAAAGGTGCCACCTCGATGGCGATTTTCCTATTTCCCTTTGGATTCTCCTGGCATTTGTTACTCTAAACTGCAGTCACTCCCCTTTCCAGATATCAACCTCTCCAGCAGGGGCTTTCTTCTCATCCTCCCTTACTGACCTTCCTTACCTCCATCCACAGGGATTCTCGCAGGAGCCACAGCTAACAAGGCCTCCCAGAACAGGATCCGGGCATTGCAAAGCCACAGCTCCCCAGAGTGCAAGGAGGAGCCTGAGCCCTTATCCCCTGAACTGGAATACATTCCCAGAAAGAGGGGCAAGAACCCCATGAAAGCTGTGGGACTAGCCTGGTGAGTTTTAACTAACCCTTCTTCCCATCAGTGGGGAGTTGTACCAGGGGAGGGAGGGACCCAGAAACTTCTCCAAGTTTCAAGTGGTGAGCTGAATCTAAGATTGTGGGGACAGAGTTCCTGGGTGTGAGGACTGGAATCTCAGAGGAATTGGGCAGGGGACGTGGGAAAGTATGTGGAATTGAAGAAACAGAGGGTTTTCTGTGTGTAGTAAACTAAAGTAATTGATTCAGATTTGGGTTCCTGGCCTCATCCTCTCATAGGAGCTTGGGGTAAGACCCAGTTGAGCTCTTCAATAGAGATAATATTAGTGGTATAGTAGCACCTAGGTGTTCTGTACATTGCTATTTGGATCTGACTCTGACCTTAATGTATATTATCGATCAACATTAAGTGGAAAAGAGCAAGAAATTAACGTTTTTTTCCAGAATCTGAGCTGTGCTAGTACTTTACAGTATTATGTTTTAGTCTTCCTGAAATAAACACTACATCCCCATTTCACAGAGGAGGGAACTGAGGCTCAGAGCTGGGGTTGCCACCAGGTCTTATGACTCTGTGCCCTTTCTCCCACACCAAAGTGTCTCCCAAGTAGCAGTTACTCAGATTAAGAAGGGGTGTCTGGGAGGGGGCATGGGGCAGTTTAGACAGAGGGAACCTTAGCCAAGATTTGGAGAGGGAAAGAGGATGGGCTATCTGGAAAAATCCTACAGAGTCGGTATGGCAGGATTGCAGTGCTCCTGTTGAGGAGTGTCAGGCTATAGGGAAAGGAATGAATAGGTGGGCAGAGACCCACCCACACTGGGCCTTTTGTGCTATGCCTGGGAGTTTGGACTTGACCAGGAAGTGATGGGGAGCTGTTACAAAGTTTTAAGCAAGGCAGTGGCAGGATCTGGTTTGCGTGGGGCCCTTGAGCAGCCAGTGTGGAGGCTGAGTAGACAGACACAAGAGGTATTGCAGTGTTCATGCAATTGATAAAGCTGGAATGAGATTATTCCCAGCTCCTCTGGCTCAGGCTTGGCCCCTCCCCAAGCCCCGTGCACATCTCCCCACCCCTAGGGCCATCGGCTTCCCCTGTGGTATCCTCCTCTTCATCCTCACCAAGCGGGAAGTGGACAAGGATCGTTTGAAGCAGATGAAGGCTCGGCAGAACATGCGGGCATCCAACACGGGCGAGTATGAGAGCCAGAGGTTCAGGGCCTCCTCCCAACATGCCCCGTCACCTGAACCTGGGTCCGGGGAGCAGGCCTAAGGAACACTGCAACCCTCTGCTAGGTTGTATTGACTGTGGCGGTGGCCTCCAGACTGTGAAGTTCTTTGGGTTTGGCCACAATTCTGGTCCTCGCCTCCGAGGTCCACCAGAGGGCGCGTGGAGCCCAGGCTGCTGCCAGCCGCTGCTCCTCCCTTCAGAGAGCCAGCCAAAGGCAAATAAAGTTGCTGAGTGTTTTGAGTGGAAAGGAATCAGGACTTGGTTCCTGAATCCCTTGGGGCGGGAGGGGCCACGGGTGGGGTTGGTTGCGCATGCGTGCTCCCTCTCACAGAAGCGCTCAGTTTTCCCGGTTGGATGGTTGGGGAAACCACAGAGACTTAGCACAAGCCTAGGCTCAGACCCTGAGAACCAAGCCCTCAATGCTGCTGGCCAGGAGGGTGGGGTCCCACTCAGCTTTGAACAAATAATAAAGAAAATCAAAGAGGGCATGCAGGGCGTGGAGGGGGGGAAAGCACTACTCTTGGCTGAGGCCAAATGACTAGGTCTCTCTGGGCCTGTTTCCTTGTTTGTAAAAGGGACTTTGCTAGTGATTTCTGAGACAGGGGTTCTAAACCTGAACCTCCCAGGAGGGCCCAGCTCTGCTGGGACAAAGTGTGTTTGCATATCTTGTAGAAAAGGTGGGAGACACTAGGCCAGAATGCAAAGGTAGGGAGTAGATGCTTTGGGCAAAACAAGACCCATATCCCAAAGCTAACACCTTTTAAAGTAAAGAAAACCAGAGCCAAACTGGGTTTTAAGTTCTAAACATAAAACTTTATTACATTTCTAGTTACATCCTTTTCTGTGATATATTTAGGATCAAGTACTTAACAGAGAAGTCCGGATTATACCCTTGAGCTGCTTTGGTTTCCACCCCTGTGGGATAGAGTGACATCTGCCCCCTTCCCCAGTCCAGCCGGTGGCACTTGGTATCTCAGAAGTAGTAGCTGGCTGGAGAGGTGGAACTCAAGTCTAAAATCCCCCAGCGTGAGTTAAGAACAAACTGAGAGGGGACATCTCCTTCCTCCCAGGGTCACCCCACCCCAGTTAGCTGAAGGGAGAACAAGTCTCCATGGGTGCCACAGAGGCTTCCATATCCCTCTGACCCAGTGGAGGACCCCGAGGCACCTTCCCTGTTCCCCTGCAGTCTCTCTTCACCTAGGTTCCCTCCTGCCACACTTACCATGCAACAAACCTCATCTCCTGACCTTTGCCCTTCACTTTCTGTTCTGAGCAGCCTGAGCACAGGGAACAAGAGGTCCGCGTGGCCAGAGACATGAGGCACCCAGGGAGGCCCCAGGCAGCTTAGGAGAATGTGACCCAATGGCTGCAGATGGACCTGCTCTCTCCACCAGCACAGCCACGAGGAGGCCCAGGGCAGATGCTGCTCCATACTGGCCCCTGTGCTTGCCTCCGCTCGCTCTCCTCCTCCTCCCTAACCCCAACCCAGCTAAACAGCATATACCTGTCACAGAAGAAGAGGGATTATAGCAGGGGAGAGCTGTGGGCACAGATCTCTCTTACCTTCCTGAGCTGGAAGGCACCAAGGGGTGGCAGAGAAGTACAGGGTTAACAGCCTGAGCTCAGGAGGCTGGGGACAAAGCTCCCTGGCTTTGCTGGGGGTTCAGGGAGGAAAGAGCTCTAGCTACTGAACCCAGAAGCCTGTGGTAGAGGTAAGAGGGCATACCTCATCACTTCGAAGTTACTTTGCTTTTCTCATATTCCCTTTTAGCTACAGACCAGGTTCTTTTTATCCCTCCTCCTCCAACCCCAGCTGTTCAGAAGAATTTGGTGCCATGTACTGGGGTGGAAGGAGAAGGCACTAGTCCCTGCCGGATCTACAAAGGCAAGTTAGTCTGTCCCCAGTTCCTCCAGCCCACCAGGTACCTGCATGTCCACAGCCAGAGAGGCCACCCATCCCAGGACAGAAAGGAAACTCGGTATATATTACTTCAGGGGAAGGAAAGGGGCCTAAGGCCCAGACCTGGGTCACAGGGCCCAGCCCAATAGGGAAGAGAGAGCCCAAGATGGGGCGGAATGAGGGGTGCTCCTTAATTGCGATCCCCCACCAGCTGCAGCACAAAGGTGAAGATGTAGATGATGTCCGTGTAGATCTGAAGGGCGCCAGTGATGTAGTCCTCCGGGCTGATTGTGTGCTTCCGGTTCCCCAGGACCAGCTGCGTGTCGTAAGCCAGGAACTACGGGGACAGGGAAGGCATGGGTAAGGACCAGGGCTCAGTGGCCAGAGCTTGTGTCAGGTCAGCAGATCTGTCCCATGCAGTGTGCTCAAGAGGACAGGATAATAAAGAGCACAGCACCTGGTCTCTGTCCTCCAGCAGTTCACAGTCTAAAAAGGGGGATGGATACATCACTGTCTATAACAGAGCCTGCTGAGGATTCAGGAGTAGGCATAATGAACAAGAGATTGTAGGAATGCCCAGAAAATCAATGAAACCTCTTGACAGTGGGGAGAGGGAAGGGCAGCTGTGGCGCCACTCCCTGCCTCCTGCAGCCTACATTGATGCTCCATCGACCCAGTTCTTCCCCTCCAGCCCCCGAGCTCCCCTTCCTAGAGGAGGCAGGGCCTTACTCACCAAAGTGAAGCAAATGGCCCCCAGAGCAGCATAGACCATGTGCAGCCAGTAAATCTGGGGAGAGGGGACAGGGTTGACGTTAGAAATCTCAGCAAAACACTGACCGAGGCAAGCCTCAGGACCAGCTTCCCCTGGGATTCTGGATCCAAGTGGGGAGATCCAGGAAGGATCTACTACATGATCCTTGGCTCGAGGGCCAGCTGCATGCGAGGACTACTTCGGCCTTCCAAGTACTGGAAGAAATGAAGAATGGTAACCTGTTTGGCAGGAAAACAGAGGCCATCCTCCAATGGCCATGTAAAACCAATCTCCAAAGTTAGTTAAGGAACATCAGAAGTGCCCATTACACTTTTGGAAAAAGGAAGGTGGCTGAGTTAGAGCTCTAGGCAGACAGAACCAGGCACGCACTGGCTGAAAAGCCCTGTCAACTTTCCGCTAGTCATGGTCAGCATTCACTAGAATGATTCCTGCAGCCCAGCCTGGGAGGGAAGCCCCCCAACCACCCTGATTATCAGAGTATCAGAATCAGGGAGCACTCCAGGGCAGCCCTGCTCAAAGCCATCCAGGTACCTGTCTACAGAAAGGCAGGCAGCCCTCATGTTAACAGGCCTCCCCTCCCAGCACTGTTCTCTCGGTCCCACCGTGAGGCTCCCAGCCTAGGGCCTCACACTCTCCAACTGACTGAAATAAAAGAGTAGTTGGCTACAGTGGTTCCTGAGGTCCCTTCCATCTAAGCCCATCTTCTCAGTCCTCTGCGTTCCCCTCCCAGTTTGCCTCCTAGAACCTGACAGCAGCTGCCGGACAGACCTCATCCACTACTTCCCACAGGAGTTCCATGCTGTCCAGAGTCTCAGGTACTACGGCTCCCAGGGCCTTCTGTCTCCAGATAGAGACAATACCTGACCCAAAGGATGGCGCTTCAGCCTGAGTGCCTTTGGTAGCCAGTCGAGAGGTTCTGGAAGTCAGAGCTCACCCAGACGTGGGTGAGGCCTGATACACCACGTTAGACAGAAAGTCTTCTCTAAGCACTGGGCCCACTTGACCCCAGCTCTGCCAGGACACTCACATATTTGAAGGACAACACAATGGCAGTGACAATCCCAGTCACCATCAGCACAATTCCCAGGACACAGAAGAGGCCTGTGCACGAGGTGAAGTCCACCTGCCGGGAAGGGAGGAGGCGGCCCCCGTCAGATGAGTGCCACAGCGAGCAGCCCAGCCACGCCGGCCTGGCCTCCCCTCCCCAGGAGCCCCAGGGCTGCCTCCTGGGAGGCATGCGGTGGCCACGCCCTCCTCAGGACAGACACCATATGCAGTATTGTAGGTGCAGACAGGAGGGAAAGGGGATTAGGGTTTCTCGGGGAAACCCCTGGTGTACAGGGGTGGGCCTTCCCAGGCCTGCTCGAGGGCCAAGCTAAAAGGGCCAGGTCTGTATAAGAAAGAGGGCGGGCTGGCTGGGGAGGGGCCCTGTGGCCCTTACCTTGGTCTGGAAGCAGAAGACGGTGACTGAAATGGACACCACAGCAGTGATGATCATCGCGATGATGACGGCTTTGGTTCCATACACACTGAGGGGAAGGACAGGTGAAGAGAGACCAGAGACGTAAGCATGTATGAAATAGTCACTTCTGGAAGGATCCTGCCCAGAATAGCCCAAGGATGCCCCATTCGCCCATATTACACACTTGCCAAGGGTGTGGTGGTTTGTCCCTGAATGTACCTGGAAATGGTGCCTGTCATGAAGCCCATGGCAAGAGTCTGAGGGAAGGATAGAGACAGGAGTGAAACACTTAGGGAAGGCAGGGCCCTGGAGGCACGGCTGCGGGGCCTGCGGGGGCCAGGCCGCTGCAGCCACTGAGGCCAGCGGGGCCATCTTCCACAGTGATGCCCCCTTCCCTTCCCTGAGACCAGCCCTCCCGCACGCCCCCCTCACCCCTTCTAGACTTACAAAGACGGTCAGCAGGATGATGTTCCATGGGAAACGGCGTCTGAAGGGGAAGAGACCATGATTAGGGGCCTGGGGGGCAGAGGCTCCTCTAGCAGAAGGAGGTTCTTGGCTCAGGCCCCTAGAGAATTAGACCTTGACCTGGGGAGAGGGAGGGCGGCAAGGCCTCTGGTACCGCTCAGGTGGTCTATGCAGGTCCGCACGGGGCAGTGGGACAGCTGGGGCTGTGGAGCCTCAAAGACCTGGATTTGTTTGCAGTTCTGCACTGACTGCCTGTGTGACTGAGAAAGTTACTCAGTCTCTTTGGGCCCTGGGTTCTTCCTATTTGTTAAATGGTTAAAATGCTGCATGTCTTACAGGGTTGCTCTAAGAACCACAGCTCCATAGCTCAGTAGATCCCACACAGGCAAGGTTCTCTGTACACACCCGAACAGCAGCTGCTCTCACCTCTATCCTGTTTGTAAGTCTCCATTCAACTGTTATAAGAACTCCCCTTTCTTCCCAAAACACTTGGCCTCCCTTCTCATTATCTAAGTCTCGGACTCACCTGGGTCCCTGGCAGCAGGCGAGAGTCAGGTAGGTGGCCAGGAAGACAGCGCTGGAGAGAAATGAGGAAGGAGTCTACAGGCCCGATCTGCCCCCGGGACCCCCCCAGGCCCAGCCTGGCACACTCACCAGACTGGCAAGGTGGAGCCCGCAGAGCTGTTTGCAAATCTGAGGGGAAGCTACCCAGGAGGCCAGGGGCACTGAGAGCCTCTGTAATGGGGTTTGGCCAGGGAAGACCTGGAGAGGAGGCCATGGCAGACAAGCTCACAGAAATGGGGCGGTTCTGCAGGGTGCATGTTGCCACAGGTTCCCACTCCCTTGCTCTTAGGAGCTCCATGATGCTGTTACTCCACACTCTGGTCTCACACACCCCAGCTCCCCAGCACAGCTAGCAACAAGGAGGGCCCCTCCCCAAAAGTACTTTGATCCCTGCCCCCGAGAAACACTGGTCAGTTACTGCTCCCCCATCCCCCCCCCCCCGCCAGGCAGAGAGGAGCACAGACTCACTAGGACGCGTAGTAGACAAACAGGTTTCTCCTCACGAACTCGCTGACTGGCCTCCTGTGGGGCAGGAGAGGACCAGAGAGGGGTCGTACCATGGCACCACGGGCCTGTCTACCCCCCTGGGGTAGCCGGCTGCTCTCTCTCTCTCTGATCAGCAGTATCCAGACTTGTCTTCCAGTTCCTCTTGAGAAAAGGGCCCACCCCAACCCACGCTCCCAGCAGGTGGCCCAGAGCTCACAAGGGAGGGCAGAGAGGCCTAGAGACTCACACAAAGGTAAAGATGGCGATGATGGCAACCGTGAGGAGCAGCTGGATGGAGATGATGGTGTAGACCTGGAACAGACAGCCAGTGGGCAGCCCGGGTCAGCACCCCACAGCCCTGGCCCCTCCCCAGCCCCAGGCCCAAGAGCTCAAAAGACCCTGCCACTGTCTCCCTCCCATCTTTTAGTGGGGGGCAGGGGGCCCCTTCTTAACTCTGAAGGATCTACTCTCTCTACTTGAGAGCACTCCCCAGCTGCAGCCTGGCCTACAGGCCACCTCCTAAGATACAGGACCCACCCTTAGAGCTGACCCCCACCTCCAGCTGCTTCTCGACCTCTCCCCTCCTAGTCCTACATCTGGCCTCAGTTCACTCCCTCCTTCCCCTGCCCCACAGCCATGCAGCATTTGCAGCAGTTCATCTGACATCTGCAGGGTCGAGAGATGCTACGAGTGTGATCATTTCTGGCTTCAAGTTGCTTAGAGTCTAACAGGAGAAAGGAATTTGGGGAGGCACAACCGTAGGCAGAGCCCACCTAGATTTTCCAAGATTGAATCTACCCCACCAAAACAAGTTCAAGGAAGAGAGGAGCAAAAGACAGGTGAGCACGGGTCAGAGGAGCTGGGAACCTCTTTGAGGAGAGTGCAGGGCTAGTGAGACCCCGGAAGGAGCAGCCTATTTGCATGGGAATGAGTGCCCCAGGGCTACCAGTGCCCCTTCCCATCCCTACAGCTACAAGGGCCGGTACACCCACCTCCCTCCCAGCCCAGCCCCTCTCTCACCTCCCAGAACCCCTCTCACCTCCCAGACCCCCTCACCTGCCAGCCCATCTCTCACCTTGCGGATGAAGGTATGTCGGACTTTCCTGTCGTCCCACTCTCCAGGTCCAAAACTGTCACTCACTGCTCTCTCCTCTCCATCATAGCCCTGGCCTGGGCCTGGGGACAGATCACATATGACCAACTGGGGACTTGGGACTTGTGGTCTCAATCCCAAAGCCTCCATGATACGATCTCAAATGGAGTCTCAGGTAGCTCATCCATGACAAGTGATAGAAACTCAGGAACTCCTCACCCAAACCAGGTCTAGATGCCTTCAGAGTGACCAGAGCTGGCCTGGGCACCATATGGAGCCCTGTGCCCCTGTCACGAGGGGCTTAGGTTTGAACTCTCCATCAGCATGCATTTATTGAGGGCTCCTAGGTGATGGTGCCCAGACCTTCCACACCCAGGTGCTCAGGGAATGAATGTACACAGTCTGTGCCAGCAAGAGGTCACCCATCTAGTGAGGAAGCTGGGCAGGTGTAAGGCTTGTGGAGTATCGGCCAGAGAAGTTGGAGGGGTCAGAGCAAGGAACTCAAGAATGGAAAGAAATGATAAAAATACAATGCATGTGTGGAGGGTGGAGAAGAGTATGAAGACTGTCATGTACTCCAGGGCTCAAGGAAAAACATGTCAGGGGCATGTGCGCACAGGACGAGGCATGGCTGTAAACGTAACCCATGAGCTCGTGTTCACACCAGAACACGCACGACCAGATGAGAGTTGGCTGTGGCCCAGGATTCCAGCGATGCTGCGGGGCTCAAAAAACATTCCTTGAATGCCTCCTTTGGAACTGCTCTCAAATCCACAAGCCAGTAGGAAGTCTCACTGCATTTGAACTTCACCTCATTTCTCACCAAACAGAGCATTTACCTGCCATGATGTTTATCAAACATCCAGATGATTTCTGGATGTTTGCAAAAATCAGATGTTACCTTAAAGACTGAGAATGTGTCAGCATGGAGAACGTTAAAAAAAAAAAAAAGGTACTTGGGATTTCAAAAGCAGTTCCTCTGGAAGAGGCAAATCTGGTGGGGTAACTGGGAAATGCAAATAGCCTCCTGAGATAACATCTCTGAAGTAATTGCTTCACCCACCCACTTTCTCTTCTGCCGTGCATGTTCTGGGATGTCTTACAGACTCAGTCTCCTTGCTGAAAAATGGAACTAGCGGATGGTTGTGAGGGTGCAGGGTGCCTAGATGCTGGGTAACAAAGATGAGGAAATGGAAGGAGAGATCTAAAGAGATGAAAAAAGATTAAAAGGGAAGCTGAAAAGGAAGGAAAGGAGGTGGCCTCCTGTTACAAGTGCTGCCTCCTCCCACCCCCACCCCCAGCTACCCTTCTGGGACTCACCATAGTGCATGGGCATCGGGTGGATGGGGGGCATAGGCTGTGGGTAGCCAGCAGGGTGACCGTAGCCAGGCTGTGGGTAGGCAGGGTAGGCAGGGTACCCTCCAGGCAGGACAGATGGCTGCCCGTAGCCCCCCTGGGGTGGAGGGCCAGGGTACAGAGGGTTGCGGTCCTCATACGGAGGAGGGGCACTGGGGTTCGACATGGCCTCTCAAGTGCTGAGGGAAGACCCCAGTTGCTGGGACCTGAAATGGGAGATGAGAAAAGCAGTCATGAATGCCCAGACCCAGCTCAGCCCCAGGCCAGGCTGCCTCTGCTGAGAGGAGACCTCAGTGATCCCAGCCTGCCATCCACTGCCCACAGGCCATCCTGCCCCTCCCCACAGCAACTCAGCCCCTGCCCTCCACCTTCACGCTAGCTTTCCGTCGCCCACTGCCCTCCTTACTGTGCAGCTTCCTGCTGTAGGAACATGGGGGGTTGGTGCAGGAGCCCAGAACAGTCACTGGGCACCAGTGGTGTGAGAGACAGGGAACCGGTTGGGGTCAAGGGGCTGGAACTCCTCTGTGCTCACTTATGAACACCTTCCAGTGATCAGGGAAGAAGCCCCACGGCCCCCAGCAAAACATCCTGGTGAGTCACAGACCAGCTGGGACCCATTGAAGGGCTCAGCCCAGCGCCAGCACTAGCTGGCAGGAGCCCCAGGCCTGAAAGGCAGAGCTGGGGAGGAGCCAAAGCTCAGAGGGAAGGGTGGGGAGGAGGTGGAGGACAACAAGCCAGCCCCAGAGCCAGAGCCACCAGGCTGGGATCCATGAACAGTGGACAGTGGCTGAGTCAGGAGACGCCTGAGAGGCTTGGGCAAGTGGGTGCATGGGGCCAGCTACTGGGGGCTGGGAGGCTGTACAGAAGGGCAGGCCTGAGACAGGACTTTCTGGTTACTTCAAATAACAATTGAGGTGTATCAGATGGGCGTATGGCAGCCACCACTCTCTTCACGGCCTTGCCAGGGGGTGGACAGTACATGCAGGGCCCTGAAGCCCCCTGGGAGGAGGAAACACATATTTTGAACCCCAGGGTCTCTGGTGTCCCTGTGATTCCTGCCTGTCCCAGAGCCTGTGACTAGCAGAGAGGGAAGTATGCTGAGGAGGCATGTCACAAGATCCAGTCCATACTTTGTCTGCAGCAGGAAAAGCCCCACAGCTAGGGGGCGCTCAGGAATGAGGAGGAGGAGGGATCAGAGGGACCTCCAGGTTGTGTGGCCCTGAATGCCCATTTCAAATAAGGGAACCAAGACCCAGAACAGTGAAGGGCCTCCCTAGGATCACAGAAGTAGCAGGTTAATGCACAACCAGAATGGAAGCTTTCAGGGTCCTGGGTATGTATGTGTTCTCTATATTATGCTGTGTTTTTTATACCTCTTACGCCAAATAAATGTCCCCTGGGCCTAGTGGTCCCCTCTGAGGTGGCAGGGATGGAGGCTTTGGAAGAGCTAAGGAGGAAGTCCCTGGAAGGCCCCTGTGTCCCTGGTAGGGACAAGCCCTGGCTGAGCCTGGGCCCCTGGACAAGGCTACCATCTGCTAGATCATCTCCAAGGGGCAGACCTTTAGGTCCCCACAGGGAGGAAGCCCCCCCTACCAGATCCAGATTCAGAACCTCTGCTGAAAGGAGGAGAGAACCAGCTTCTCTTTTTAGGGCACCCCACGTAGTTCAGGGATCAGATAAAGGATTGTCCTTTCTCTTCTCTCTGGTGACAACTGGGATAATTCTGAGAAGGGAAGGTGGCAGGGAGGAGAGATTGAATAACAGGCCAGGTCTCTAAATGGGTTATTTTGAGGAAAGCTGTTCTCCATCTTCCCAGAGTAAATGGACCAGAACAGCAAGAATGTGTCAGGTCAGAAAGCAGGAAGGCCTTCCTGACAGGGAAGCTGGGACACAGCAAACCAGGGCAGCAAAAGTGGGCTGGTGGGGAAGGTCCAGCACAGTGGATGGAACAGGGTAGCGGGAGAGAGCAAGGGAAGACCAAAAACTGAGTGTTGCGAGCATAAGAAACAAGAGATGAACTGTTTTTGAAATGTTCTGGGCTTATGTAAAGGTAGGAAAATAATCACAAGTAGTTACAATACGTGAATCTCCCTAACAGACTTTTTAAAAAGGAAGAAAGAGAAACTGGGCTCTTCTGCCCTGAGGCAAGAGGCTCCTTCTCCCTCCACCCCTCCACCCACCCCCTCCAGAAATCCCCTTCCAACTCCACCAGGGCAATGGCGCTGTTTGCTGGAAGAGGACCAGGCAGGCTACCTTTGGAGTAGGGTTATCTGTCATTATTGCTGTCACCTCAGTGCCTGGGGGCATCTAGCATCGACCTTCTGGGTGGTGGTATACAGGTGACCAGGGTGAACACAGTCCAAGAGAACTGGTGGGAAAGGCCTGTGGTGGGAGCCCCAGATGGGCCACCAAATAGTGATGTCACCATGACCAGGTTGTGCGGCCTCCTCAGCATACACCTTGGTGGGGTGGGCCGGACGACCTCTGAGCTCATTTCCAGCTCTAACAGACTGTGATCTGGGAACTACCTCAAACGCCCAGACTCGGGGCCTGGGCAATACATGGGAGCTGGGCAAGATGTGGGCCTGCCCTTTGACCAGCCAGCTGCTGCTTCTCCCTCCTTCCCTCTAAGCTGAGCCAGGCGAACAGGTCCCTCCCAGACCAAAGGGGCTGCGGCCACAGGATGCAGGGTGAATCATGGAGAGGAAGGTCAGGCTGAGATGGGCTGCGGGGACTTCAGGGTCCCGGTCCAGCTCCAAGGGCTGCTGACTCACAGGGACTCCCTCGCCCTCCCTCTGCCTCCCCTGGTTTCAGAGTTCACCAGCAGCCTACCTGCTGGCCACAGAGCAGGGCACAGTCCAGTTCTCTAGGGGCTCAACCACCAGCCCATGTTCACCAGAGACCGGAACTGACCGTTTCACTATGCCTCAGTTAATCCACCTGGAAAAGGGGCTTAACACTGTAACAGTACCCTCCACAGACTTGTTGGAAAAATACATATATAGCAGTTAGAATCATGCTGACCCCTGAGAGACAGTAAGAGTGGCTATTTTATTGTTTCATTAATCCTTACAGAAACCCAACAGGTGGGTAATGTTATGATCACTTTTTACAAATGATGGAAGTAGAGGCTTGAAAGGAGTAGGTCACTTGCTCAAGGTTACTTAGCTAGGGCGTGATGAAGACAAGACGATCCTGGATGGACTCGAGCTGTGCTCTTAGACCCCCTGCTCTAATCCCCTGTTCGGATACCCTGTCTATCCAAACTTATCATCACCTCTCACAGCTTCCTGCTGAAGACCCTCTAATGACAACAGAAAGCTTGTGTAGCAAGTGGACACTGAACCTTCTCCAGCCCCCTCCATAATCCCCCAGTTCCCCAGCCCTCCATGACCACCAGGGGAAGACGGTGGTCGGAGAGAGATTCTGAATCATCAGAGCTGAAAGGAAACTCACCCATCTAAGGCAAGCCACCCCCCTCACTTTACCACCCAGACAGCCACAGTGCAGGGATTTGAATGACCTACGCTTGGTCACAAAGCTGGGCCGGGGGCCTGGACTACATCCAGTTCTCTGGTACAGAGACCTGGGCACAGAAGAGGGAGAGAGTGTCCAGACCAGTCTGGGGAGTGGCTGAGCTCAGCCACACTCACCTCTGAGCAATGCCAGACAGGTAAGAACCTCAGGCCCAGGGCTGCCAGCATTGGCAGCTTCTGAACCTGTGCCCTGGTTGCTGCCCCACCTACATGAGGGCCCTGCCACTTCCACATCATCCAGGCCTCAGCTAGGGATGAGGTCTGGGGCTGGCATCTGCCTAGGGAGTAGGGAAAGGGGAAAATGGTCAGTGTTTACTCTCATAGCTATGACTGAAGATGGGAGCTGGAGAAGAATGTAGAAAGGGAAGGAGAGGAAAAGGAGGCGGAAAACCCAGAGACAGAGTGGGGATGATGAGATGCCCAAAGACTAGACACAGGGAATCAGGTCATCTGAGTTCCGCTGGAAGTTACTGGAGGAGCTCAATCTCCAGGGGCTAAAAAGGACCTTTAAGGTTCCCACTGGAAGCCTGAACATTCTTTGTTAAACACAGTGGGCATTCAGCTTCTACTGAACACACTCCAGCAACAGGGGGCAAGGCTGCTCTGCTTGCAGGCAACTTGCACTATTAGATCATTCTTCCGCACAATGCCTGTTATCAAGACATTCAGACTTGCCCATCCTTGCCGAGTTACAAACCTAAGTTTGCTCCTCATTCTCATGGCCCCCATCGCCTGCCCAACAGGAAGGAGCCAGAACCTCTCCTTCCTCCTACAGGCCACAGCCATCAGACCCAGCCATCACAGCAGCAGGGTGGGGCAGGGGGGGCCTCCAACGCAGGACTTCTTGGCTGTCGAGGTTTTCAGATGCAGCCTTGAGGAAGCATTTCCTTCCCCTGGAACCATCACACTGTGGCCACCAGCTGAGGCCCAGGCTCAGGCTCCTCTAGGGGCACCTGAAGGGTTAAGGCTCCTCCAGAGAGGAGGCCTGAGTTACTGGCATTGCATCTAGAGGGTGTGTGCTGGAGGGAGGGGCAGAAAGGAGCAGCTGACTGGTCCAGGCAGCCTGCCGTCTGCCCTGCCAGGAACAGAAGCCCAAAGCCAGAATGGAAAGAATAACTCAGGGTGCACATCTCAGGAAACCCCACCCAGCAGGCACAGGAGCCCCAGCCCCTGGCCCGCTGTGACCAGATCTCTTGTGACAGTCTCCTTACCTCCCTTTTCCTGTGCCTACCCCTACCCTCCTGCTCTCCCCTCACCCAAGAAAACACTTCACCCTCCTACCCCAGCACTTAGCCACGAGGGCACAGGAGTAAAAGGATACACCCAGAGCGTCAGGCTAGTCACCAGGCCTGATGCACACAGACCAAAGGCCCTTATCCTTCTGTCTTCCTGGCCTCTGGAATTATAGCATGACACTTAGGAGGACCTAAAAACTGTATCGTCAGAGCTGGCACGGACTTCAAAAATCATCTGGTCATTTGACAGAGGAGGAAACCACAGAGCCAAGAAAGTTCTTGCCCAGCCTACAACAGGCCTCTTGGTCATGGGCTGGGAACTTCCATTCTGAGGAAAAGCCAGAACAAGCCACCCTTCTCCCCAGTACTCTGTGGCTGCCTGCTCAGAAATAGATAAGACTGCTAACCCATCACTTCCCTCCCAGCCCTGGCCTCTAGCCAGGGTGGCCTCTCTCTAGAGGATCAGAGACTGAGATGGCTGGCTCCAGTCTCCAAGGAAGGGGAAGCCACCCTGGAGAGCATGGGAAGACCAGGCCCTGGAGATGCCCCATCAGCCTTCTCTGGGAGTAGAACTATGTCATCAGTGCAGGTCATCTCAGAGATCCCAGCCAAGGCAGTGGTCAGAACAGCCTGGGATTGCAGATAGAGAAAGAAGCCATTAACTGGGCTGGATGGGGCTGCAGAAACACAGCCCTTATCCACCTCTTTGTGTTTCAGCTTCTGTAGCCTTTCAGTTGAACTTCAAGATTAGGACAGAGAGGTAGATGGTTGATTAACAACTCACAATGCAGAAGGCATTCTAACCCTTCCCTGTAGTGGGCAGGAAAGGAAGAAAACCACCTACAGTAGTAAGTACTGTGTACTTAGTACTGGTACTAAGGCACATCTCATCCCCACATATTCTTATCACTACTCCACAGATGAGAAAATGGACATTCAGAGAAAAATTCTAAGGTCCCATAGCAGAAAAATGGGCAAAGTCCATTGTAGAAAGTTCATCCATGCCAGAGGCCTGGGTTAGGAGGCAGGGGGCTGAGTTCTTGTTCTGACTCTGGTCTTAACTCCACTGTGTGAGTCAAAGTAGGCCACTCTGCATCTCTGGACTGTTTGCTCCTCCGTAAAACGAGTATACTGACCAAAAGACCAAAGACTATTCCAACTCTAACAGTCTCTGATTCTGAATCAACTAACAGACCAGAACAGAAGGCTTCAGAGTAGCATGACCTGCTTCTGAAAGAATTAGGCTGGGGTCACTACTGATATGAAACTGGTCTGGAGATGTCCACAGAGGCAGAGGCACATGGGAGGTTCTAGCTCCCTCTCCTCCTAAATTGCCCCCATATTGCCCTCTGGATGCTCTGACCAGCACCTCCTGGGAGCTTACTTACCCAAGATCCTGCAGAAAAACAGTGTGCTACTGTAGGGAAGAAAGAGTACGAGGCATAAAGTCAAGAGACCTGGGTTCAAGTTCTAACTCTGTCAATATAACCAGTTATGGGAATCCAGACATATCACCTCCTTTGGCTTCCTCTTCCCCCAAATCTCCCACATGGGGGAGAGGAGGGACCAGTTACCCAGAACCAGAGAGTGGAAAGCTCGAATCTCCTAGCCAGGCATTTCCCAGTGTTTTAATTAATTTCCCCAGGAGATGTTAATAGATGAGCTCTGAAAACAGTTAAGTCTGAAAACCAACCCACATCCACTTCTGGGAACTCACAGGACACAATGGCATATTAAGCCTCTGAGAAGTCCTGCAATAAATGAATCTGTTCAACTTCAACTCACCCAGTGTTTCTTCAGGTCTGCCACATCTTTATCAGGGTACACCTAAATATCCTGGGGGTGCTGAGCAGGCCTTTTCAGCCTTTGTTTCACAGATAGACCCAACCTTGAGAATGGTTTATAACTCATCATATCTGAAAACCCGTCCTTACCCAGTCCCTCAGGAGTCACATTAAGTACAGCCAAGCCCCCTCACTCTCAAGAGAGTCAGCTCAATGCCAAGATCCTCTGTGAGGATTCTTGCTCTTCTCCCCCAGCCAGCTGCTGTTAAAATCTTCACCATGGGATTTATTACCAAGGGCCGGTGGACATCTCCAACTAGCATAGAACCCAGAGGCTGGCAATCCCTAACATCACCCTATGTGATGGGAAAAAAAATACAAAGTATATATGAGAATAAGGACTCATTCTTACCTTCCTACCTGGCCAGTGTATTAAGTACCCTCTAAGTACCTGGCACAGTGGCCTGTGGACTTCTGGATATCCTCTCTACTTCAAAACAGGACCTAGGTTTTGGCCTAGAATCCTATAATCTTAGGGTTGGAGGATTCTCAGGGCCATCCCCTCCACAACATTCCCAAGAGAAAGCCCCAGGGTTCACCATATTGTTAGCAGAGGCTTTCTTCCCAGAGAGCTGCATGGCCCTCCTGATGCAGCCCTTGGAGGACACACAAGTGTGTGTCCCTTCTCTGGGGCTTCCGCTCTTTCTCAAGGGCCCAGGATGAGAGTTTGGGGGATGGAAGTGCTCTGAGGTAGGTGGCTTCCAGCTGAGGGCCCTGTTCCCATTGGAGAAGGCTGGGCTGAGATGGCTATTACCCCAGCTCATGACATGAGGTTCTCCCCACACTTAGGCTGTAACCCATCATTACCTCTCTGACGTGCCCATTTTTATTTTTATAAGGGAGGCCTTGAGGTCATGGCTCAAGAAGACAGGAAGCCAGGGTCCTGCCACCATATGGTCCCACCACTTCTTTCTAAGTTATACACTGAGTCTCTTTTTGGGTCCTCATGACTGGAGAGACGGGGAGAGCAGGCAGGTGAAGAGGAAGTATGGCTGCCCCTTTATCCCAGACAAAGCAGCCCCAGGGAAGCACCTGGCTCCCCCTCTACCGCTGGCCAGGCCACAGGCACCAGCTTTGAAACCAAAGCTCACCAGTGAGATGAATATTTCACAGGCCCAGAGAACTGGACACCTGAAGGACCTTCCATGACATCTGGCTCTGACCCTAGTTCCCAGGCCTACTCCCACTCACCCCACATCCAGTTTCTTAAAGGAGAATCCCACCCGATGGACACCACACAGGGGTGTAAGGTGAGAGGGGGTGGCAATGCCCAGAGGACAGGGGCTGATCCAGACCCACAAGATGAAGGCCGATCTCCCAGCAGCCTTGGTCTCCTTGCCCTCCCACCATTCCCTGGCTCCTTCCCCAGTCTCCACTTGTTTTCCCATTTCCCATTTTCCTGTTTGGTTTTTACTCTGACCCACAGAGACCAAGAGGGTGGTACTTCCCTGTACCTTTCTGAACCCAGCCTGGGGCAGTGGCTAGAAGCAGGTGGGCTGGGGCAAAATTATGGTGACAGAGTGGCCACTTCCCCAGCCAAGGACTTGGGCTGCGAGCCGCTTCCACCGCGACGGTGGGCTAGGACCCCCACCTTTTCCCAGCTCGCTCAAGTTCTCATTCACCTGTCTACAGCAAGGCTGACACCAGGGTGCTCAGGGTCATTCTCTGCGCCTCCCCTCCCCCTCCTCCCAGGTGAGGGCCATGGAAGCCCTCATACCACGCACAGCTGGCCACTCAGACTGGCTCTATGGACACGCCCTGGGACAGACACGCGCCAGAAAGAAGGGGACATGACGCACTCAGACCCTGGCCCGATAGCTGGGCTCCCAAGGCTAAGGAGGCGCCCCTTGGCCTCCCGAGCCGCACAGGGAAAGCGAAACTGCAACTCGAGGGCGACAGATCCCCACGCGGGCACTCCGAGAAAGTTTGGGAATGCCGTCCCAGCCCTGGTCAGGCCCCGCCGGCCCGCTCTGCCCAACTCCCGCCGACCCCGGCCCCGGCCCCTTGGCTTGCCTGGCTGCTGCCGACGGTGCGTCCCCGGCCTCCGGGCGCTTCGAGTCCGTCCGGCACCGCCCGCGCCGGCCTGGGTGGTGCCCGCGCCGGCCGGGGTGGGTTTGGGCTCCGCGCTCCGCCCCGCCGGCTGGCCTCGTGGGGCGGGGCCTCGGGGCACCGCCAGGGGGCTCTGTGGTCCGCCCCGTGGGCGCGCACCTCCCACCACCCCGAGGACTTCTTAGTATTTTCAGAGCTAAAGGCAGTACATAATCGTGGATGGAAACTTAGAACGACTTATGGGAAGAAAATCACTTCTTTCCTCTCCTCCCGATTCCCATCGGGAAGCTGTTGCTTCTGGCGCTCCTTTGCCTATATACATGTATTTCGCTTTTTTTCTAGTGTGGAATCATAGCGTGTACGTTTTCTTAATTGCTTTTCTTTTATTTAACATTTTAGGATGAACATTTTTCTTGTCACTAAATATCCTCTAGAAGCATAATTTTAATGCCGCAGAGTATTCTAATGCAATGCTGTGCTGACTTAATAAATCAGTTTCTTACAGGAGGACATTTAAATGGCTTCCCATTTTTTCATTATTAGACATAAATTCGTGATGAACATCCTTGACAACTCTATTCTTTTAAGCCAAACATACCTTTCAAGTTTAAAACTTCAAACATGCAAATGTAGAGTTGGAACTTAGAATCTCTGTACCTAGGAACTAAGACATTTCCTGCTTGAAGTTTTCCATGCAGGAAAGCAGGTGTTTTAGAGTCAGAAGTCCTGGATTGGGATATAGATTACCTCTATTAGTGCCCGACAGATGGGGCTTTGCACCCATCATCTCACACAGCCACTAATGGAAGGATGCACTCTGAGTTCCACTTTACAGGTGAGGAATGGGTTCTGGGAAGCTTTGGAACATGGTCTGAGTTTGTATAGTTCCAAAGTCCATGTTTTTTCCATTACACCAAGGCTGCTGGTAAATGAACAGCATTATTTCAGGTGCTTATCTCGTACTAGTAGCTATAGATCAACACTACCACTGAATGTCTTTCACAGTCTGTTGGCGCATTTCCTCTAAATGGACAGGGCATTGAGTTTACCAGACCCAGCTGATGTATGCAGTTGGACAAGCAAGACAACCTGAGCACCTCCTGATTCCAGACCCACCACTTAGCACCTTTCCTTACGTTATTCTCTCCAGTGGCCAGTCCAGCCCTCTCATAGACCGAGATTTAAGGAGGGACCCCATGGTTTTATTTGGAAGCTCATTTGAATCCTAAGCATAAATGAAAGTGTGCTTACTAGTAAGCATAGTAAGCAATGTTACCACTTAGATTATGTATTTCAAACCAACAAAAATAGAGTTTTTAAAAATTGTGCCTCCCCCACCATGTATTGGTATTGGTATATATAGAGAGAATTCAAGTAGGAGTTGTTTAGGTGGACAGAAGGACATTATGACAGGCTAACTCCCCCAGCCACCCCAACCTTTCAAAATAAATTCAGTTTCTAGGGGCCACAGACCTCATTTTAAGAATCCCCTCCCAAAACATGAGCTCCCCAGCAAGAGCTAATCAGAGCAAGTTCAGATCTGCTCAATCTCTGTCTCTCCCTGGATGGCAAAATAGAGCCCTAGATGAAATGCAAAGCCCAGCAGACTCTGGCCACATCTCCTATGTCCCCTCATGCTCTCTATGCTTAGGTCCCTCCTCCAGAAGGCACCTTCCACTTTCTAGAACTGCCAGAATGGTCTCCAAGGAGATTGGTTTTCAGGCAGCATTCACATCCACCCCACGGAAAAGTGGAATGTGGGGACGCACACAGCCAAGCCCCACAAGCCCTGCTGCCTGCTCTTTCTCCTGAGCCCATTTTCTGATCATAGAATCAAGATTTTAATCCTAAAAGAACGTCTGAAGTACCCCCTCCTGGGCAACAGTTCACAATAGGCCTTAAATAAATGAGGTCTCCTTCCCTTAACCCCTTTTTATATGGGATAAAAAAGATAAAGTCCTTCTCAGTAAGACTCTTAGCAGATTTTAATTAACCTGTATTGTCTGCCAAGAAGACTGGAATTTCTGGTTCTGGAGATGACAAAGCTGAAAGGCCTAGCCCCCGTCCTCAAGAAACTCAGGCTCTAAGGGAGATGGTAAAAGACCAGATAATTATAATTTCAACAGTTTGACAAGTGCTGGGATGAAGTGTCCACTTGGTTCAATGGGATCTCAGAGAAAGGAGCTCCTCACCTAGCATGGGGTGGGGGGAGGGGGTGTTTCAGGAAAGACTCTTCAGAAGCAGTCACACCTGCTTTGAGTGTTGGTGGGTGTTCAGGAATCAGTCGAGCTGGTGGAGGGGCAGGGAGGAAGGTTCTCTGGGTAGAGGGAAGAGCATCTGAACCAGGGAGCTTAGGGCCCCTTGTCCCAGCAATCTAGGATTGGGCAAGAGGAGTGGGATGGGAGTGGTAAGAGACAGGGATGGCCAAGGAGTTAGGGAGCCAAGAATTGAGATTTTCCCCGAAGACAATGAGGAGCCAGGAGACTGTCAACAGCCATCTAGAAGGAGGTCGGGAGGGTCGGGAGGGTGGGAGGTGCCCCTGGAGTAGGGTCAACCTCCGTGAATAAAGATGCAGGATGGATGACCTGTTCAATTTGAATTTCAGACAAACAACAAATAATTTTTTGCAAAAGTATATCCCTCATCTCATACAATATTTGGGAATAGTTATGCTAAAAAAGTATTTGTTGCTTATTTGAAGTTCAAGTTGAACTGGGCATTTTGTATTTTTCTGGCAACCCTGCTCTGAGAGGAAAGTCAAGTCAAGTCAGAGGCAGGAGGAGGCAGGGTGGGGAGCGTGTAAGGGATCAGGCTGTTGTTTATTTTGGGGATGTGGTAACCAAAGCTTGGTGACTGATGGCAGGAGGTAGATGGAGTTTGGAAGGGGTGGACCCCCTGAGTGCCCCAGCCCAGGTGGAACAGGGAGGGAGTGGGTAGGGAAAGTTTAACTGGACTGGTGGATCCCAAGAACTTTCTCTGCTGCCCAGCCCCAGGGCTCCACAATCTGCCTTACAAATTCCTAGTCCAGTGTGTCTGATTAGACTTTACTCCACCCAAGCGAGATCTTCTCATTTATCACTAACTTTCTCATAGAAATTGCCTTTTTTCAGAGAATTCTGTAGTTACTGAATTGAGGCATTTAACCCAACCTAGGGTAAATCTGCCTGTTTCTCCCCACTGAAAGGCAAGGACAAAATCCCATTCATTCCTAGGCCTCAGACAGCCCTGGCCCTTCGTCCCTGGAATTGAAGGAACTATAATGCTCTAAACTGGGGTCAGGGTAAGGTTCTCGGGTACAAATGACAGATATATTGAGGTTGGGGGAGGACATTAGAGCTCTTTCCCCTAAAAATTAGCCCTATATTCCATAAACATTAGCACTTTCATAAAGAAATAAAGAATGGAAAGAATGGTGGATTCTGATGTCCAAGAAGCAAGAGTTTTGTCCCAGCTTTGCCACTGAATGGCCATGAGGCCTGGGGCCCATCTCTTTACATATAAATGAGTCTTATTGTTGTAGTAGGTAGATAGCCAGACAGGAGCAGGGAGGAGGGTAGGGACTTCGCCTGGTGGTTACATTCGGTTAGATGCTGGTTTAAATTCTAAACATTCTGTGTAAACTGTTCTTGTGGAATGTGGGGAGTGAGAGTATATATAACAGACCTGCCAAAATGGACTCATTCCAACCTTGAGCAGAAGTCGACCTGACTTTACCTCAAAGTACATTATAGGCACTATGGTCTCATTCCCATACTAAAAATCACACCCCTCAGCGCCATGACAGTTCCGATGCAGACCATCTGAGGACAAAAAGAGGGCATCACCCTATTTACCGGATATCCCCTCTCTATTCTGAGAAAACCCACCTATCTTCATGAGTACGCCATCCCCTGCTTACACTCCAGCTATAAGACCAACCAACCCCCCGCCCACCCACTGCACTGCTCACCTCTGAAGCTCTCCCACTCTCTGTCCTTGAGTGTGTACTTTGCTAAACTACTCTTTGCTTGTACCTGCTCAGTCTTCTCATAAATTCTTTCTTGCTGAGTCAAGAACCCTCCCCTAGGTAGGCTGAGGTCTCACCTAGTGTGCAGGGAGCTCTCCCTGGATGGAATTGCCCCAGCAACGTAATCATACTGCTCTTCCCTGCCTCCTTTGACCTTTGAAGACTCAGATGAAACCATCCATGTGAAAGGCATTGAAAAGGGTATGCACATGGTGACGTTCCTAACTGTACCTGGCTAGACAGAACTGGAAACGGGTTAGGTAAGAGCTCCTTCCCAAGATGCACTGCCTTATGCGGAAGGCTGGGCCACAGAACCAGCCTGGCATCCACCGTCTTGGCCAGGACACCGCGTGTTGCTTTCCAGTCTCCCCTGACCACCAGAATCATATAAGGGCTTTGTGAAAAAAGATTCCCTTGGGGATACATCTTTCTAGACCTCTGAATCAGATGCTTCACCAGAGGCTGCAACACATGCCCCAAGGTAAATCTGATTATCAACTCACTTTGGTGCTAAATAGGCCTGGGTTCCGTTCAAATCTCTTTAGTGGTTGCATGACGTTGGGCATATTACTTACGGACACACAACACTGGGCATGTTGTGGAGGATTCACGTCCTTATCTGCAAACAGGGAGGTAATAATATAGGGTAGTAAGGATTAAAAATCTTGGTTTTCAAGTGCTTGGGACATAGTAAAACTTGTCAGTTGTTACTGTTTGTGATAGAAGGGCAGTGATTCAGTAATTTAACACAGCAGTTTGGCCAGCAATGTGATTACATTTGGAAGACTACACAGGTCCTGGATGGATGAATTCACAGTAGCTCTGGAGGTCCAGGTTCCAGCTGCCCTCGCACTCTGCTCACTGCCACTGTGGACCGTGGCCTCCTCGGTCATCCTGACCTATTGCAGGATTCCCAGCTTTTGAAATTCCCTCCTGGTCACAAAGTCTTCACCGTATTTCACTTGTATTTGTCTGAACAGTAATCTCCACTTCAAGGGCTCCTCCCTCAGACCACCATCTATCTCTCTAGCTCAATGACTCCACCCCCGACAATTCTGTGACCACCCCAGGATCAACGATCTATGCATCTTACTTCCACTTCCCTATCC